GCATCTGGCGGCAGCGGTAAATTTGTCGGCTTGTAACGCTAAAAACCGGGTTTCGATACTCGTGGTTAGCAGAGCACATATAGCCCATTGTGCAGCTTTACGTTCGAGAACAAACAAACCCGCTCAATAAATGATCAAGGAGCGTTAAATGTCTAATGTCCAAAATGTGAATAAAGCTAAGCCTAACGAGTTTTGTTTTGTTTTTTTTCATACATTTTATCACATTGTTTTGTATTTGAATTCTCTTTTCGGTATTTTGCCAGTATGGATATAACCTAAACATTTGTCATTGCGCAGGGTCCGCAAGGGGGAAGGAGTTGCGAAAAAAAAGAGTAAAGTTCACATTAATTGCAGTTATACAGATGTATGTAAAAAAATAAATTATACGTTGTCGTTTAATTAAACAGTTAAAAAAAAGATAGTAAATTAAACGAACACCGTAATGATAAATAACATCGTCGTTTGGAAAACGTCAAGCATACTTACTGCTGGGCGCTATATGCAAGGTAACTGGATTTTTATTTCCTCGGCTTAGATTCGAACACCAGGCGAGTGGTTTATCAACTAAGCTTTTTTTTTTTATAATTTCTAGTAAAACACAATATTTACAATTCTAATTACCACATTCGAAAGTTAACACAATAATACAACCATGGAGAATATCGATGGGTTCATGGTAATGTACATGAATGTTAACTTGATGCACGAGCAGATTGTGGATTACGAACGACCCGAGAATATTTCCACACCAGGGGAGTGGGGTGGGAGAAATTCCTGAAAAAGGAAAGATTTAATGGTTTTGAATTTCGGTCAAAGCTACACGAGAGCTATCTGCGCTAGCCGTCCCTAATTTAGCAGTGAAAGACTAGAGAGAAGGCAGCTAGTCACCACCACCCACCGCCAACTCTTTGGGCTACTCTTTTACCAACGAATAGTGGGATTGTCCGTCACATTATAACGCTCCCCCGGCTGAAAGGGCGAGCATGTTTGGTGTGACTGGGATTCGAAACCGCGACCCTCAGATTGCGAGTCGAGTGCCGTAACCACCTGGCCATGCCGGGCATTAAAAACTAATTTATATATATATATATATTTTTTTATCGCTGATCTACGCTATTAGCCGTTAACGGGAAATTAACCTCATCATTAAGCGTAAAGACAATTATTTTTTCGATTAATAGCCGGCCCAATCCGCCTTTGATGTGAAACACGGTTTTTCTATAATTTGCAGAGCCAAGTTAAACAAAAACAACAACAACAATAACATAATAATAATAGTTTCAACGTGTTTCTAAGTCTACTTATTTCGTAATTACTTTTAATGTCATCAACATTACGGTTTATATTCGTATAACATACGAAAAAAATATATATATACACAAAAGGAGGGTGCAGAACAAGAAAAGGGTTTTCTGCCCTCGTATTACCCATAATCAAATACGGTTCCGCAGTACGAGTAGCAGCGTACTTTATCTAACCTGGATTTCATCTTACAAAACACGTGCCTTACCAACATAAGATGATCCCATCAACAGTGTACGGTCAACCATATGGGAAGTTTTGTATTTTGAAACATCGTGCTTTAGTTTTAAGTTGGCCAGCATTCGGTGCGACCTCTCAGCGACTACATGAGCAGATTCTAAACCGGTGCAAACTGAACCCACTCACCTTTTCCAAAGTCTGAATTCCAAAAGGAATAAGCAAGTACGTGCTTACCCCAACTCCACGAACGGAGGGTATTCAGATGTAATATAGGAGGGTATTCAGATGTAATATAGGAGGGTATTCAGATGTAATATAGGAGGGTATTCAGATGTAATATAGGAGGATATTCAGATGTAATATAGGAGGATATTCAGATGTAATATAGGAGGATATTCAGATGTAATATAGGAGGATATTCAGATGTAATATAGGAGGGTATTCAGATGTAATATAGGAGGATATTCAGATGTAATATTGATCACAGATGCTGCAGTAAGTAATAGCTTTAAAATCGATGATTTAAATACAGATGAAGAAGAATTATTTCCTCTTAAGATCGTTAGACCTACTTTTGATTTATAGTTAGAACGTCTAACTAAAGTGGATCCGAGTAAGAAGGTAAAGAAATTAAACTGGCACATTTTGACAATACGAGAGTGACTTCATCGCTTACACGGGCCAGAGATGTTTTTTTTTTTAATTGTCTTGAAATTGTTACGTGTTCTACAGTAATTCCTTTACGCTGAATCACAAAATTATATCCATTTTTCTCCATCACGCACTGATTTTTCACAAAACGTCTTATGTACGTTTATTTGACGGAATAATTTTTCGTTGAAATCGGGGTCACATTTTGTTAAGCTTAAAATGTTGACAACCACTGGCTAGAGATTTCTTTAGACCAATCGCGACGAGTCAATACAGAAAAAGGAATATTACACAAAACTCTAGAGCATAACAACGTTAAAAGTCACTCTCACTAGATGGCATTTTAAAAAACTTTTTTTAAAGTAAAAAATGCTACACAGAGAGTTACTCCCATCGCAAAAAAAAAGGGGATTTTCGACACCTGTTGTAGGCACAGTACAGATAGCCCATTGTGTAGTTTATCGCTTAACGACAAAGAAAAAAACACCATAATATACATATTTTATATGTACTGTGCCCATCGCTTAGAATGAATACCGAATTTTAGTGTTATAAGCCCTCAGCTTACCGCCGAGCCACCGGAGAGCATTTTGAAAAGCAAAAAGAATAGTATAAATTATAGTTGTTAAAATAATATTAGTGTAACAGGGGAAAGATTCGCTTTAACTCTGTATTTTAAACACGTCACGAGGACAGACGGGAACTGTCATTTCAACCTCTACTTACCATTTATTATTCATTTTTAAATAATTTCCAAGAGTTTAACCTCGAAGAAGGAATAATTATTTTATTTTATAATCGAAAGTAAATTTACTATATTGATCAGAACTAAAAAAAAGAAATGTTATAGATTTGTTAACCCTAATCCTATCCTATGTAAGAAACTAACTAGAAATGTTTTAATGTCAGATCGCTATATAAGAAAACAAAGTAAATTTACTATATTGATCAGAACTAAAAAAAAGAAATGTTATAGATTTGTTAACCCTAACCCTATCCTGCGTATGTTATAGATTTGTTAACCCTAACCCTATCCTATGTAAGAAACTAACTAGAAATGTTTTAATGTCAGAAAACCTAAGATAATTGGGTTGCATCGGATCATTAGCTGTGTACAGTCACTGTTAACGATCCAGCTAAATTGGGAATATGTAATGCTTATAAGATACGAACATCAAAAATCTTCTCTTAGTACAACAAAAACGTGGTTCTAGCATTTAAAAAAAAAAAATATTCACTAATTCTTACCAGTTCACACTCGTACTCGAAAACAAACAGCAGCGGAGTTATGAGTGAAACTAATTCTTCGGGACAGTTATATACGGTTGTTGGTGAGAAGTGTACAGGCTGAGTCAACTGACGTCAACGACATAGAACTTTTCCTTGCATGTGATAACAAAAACCGGAATTCCCCGAAGAGGGAAGTCATAACAAAGAAGATAAGAACGAACGTTTTGGTTGGTAACCTGAGATGACACTAACCCGAAAAGTGATGACCAACGAATGATTATATATATTTATACATATATTTGTATATACACTTATAAAGTTTTGTTTTATTTTATATTTTCTCCGAACAAGGTCGTTCCTATTTCTCATGAACTGTTATGAAACATTTTCAAGCCTACTGTTTCGTGTTTATGCCACGCTGACACTCCTTATTGAAGTGTGCTGTATAAGCACAGCTAATCCACTTCATCATGTAGAAAATACAACATGCAAAGAGTACGCGGTATGAAACGGGACATAAATTTATTTTCACAAAAGGAGATTGGTGTGGGGGTCGAGGGTCGTTGCTATACGTTCTTGCTCTAAACATTCGATTTCTAATTGATTTGTATAAAACAGATAATAATTATAATTCAATTACTTAATCTGCTTCATACCATATCAGTCATTATTTACGAAAACTCACGATAGAAGTAGCATCTAGACTACTATGTCTGATGAGCCTTGGTATTAAGCGAAAGGCCTCGTCGGCAATGGATATAGCGGGTGTAGTGTGGTTGACATATGATAATATTTCCCTTTTTTTTTTACTTTCATTAGTTCTTACAATTCTTAAATACCACACCAGATGGCTCTCACCTGAACAAGTATTTGGCACAGATTCCTGCCGGGGCATAGTACAACTAGTAAGCAGTTGTTTATAATAAAAGATAGTATATTCTTGTTGAAATCCGAGAGAGACAACCCTCCCCCCCTTTAATGAAAGAGTAAATAGGGGACAAGTTTCTCGTGTGAATTATAAAATAAGCCTCTTCTTCTAGAATTACTGCTAATTACGATTATCGTTTTAAATTCGTCTCTCCCACTTGAAAAATACGCCTCAAATGTACATAGTTTAATAGATATTAACAGCAAAAATAAACGCAAACGGTCTCTAAAACATCTGACCATAATTACATCACTGCAAGATGAAAAACTCAGAATTCATTTTATAAATACAACTTTAACGCAAACCGTTAAAATATGGGAACATTTTAATGTAATATTCACATGTAAAAATATAAAACATTTATATCACAGAAAGCTTCAAGTAAATGTTACGACAGCGGGGGTCACGTGATGCTAGTAACACGTCATGTTCTCGAAGGTTCGTGAAGTCTCGAGCGTTTACTAGATATGCTGTATTCTTGTGTATATAAGACCGGTAAGAAGTGACGGCAATAATGTAGGTAATTGAACTGCGGACAGAGAGAGAGATTGACGACTGAGTCGAGCACGTCAGTCGTTCGTTG